TATATAAATGAATAACATTTAGTAAAAGTATGAGAAACGTTAAGCAAGGAAATAAACCAGAGCACTGCTTCAACTGTGTAGATGTAATCAGAGCTGGCCTTTGAGTGAGAGCATGTTTGTTTCTGTTAGCAAAATATCTCGACTAGATGGATTTTACCAAAACGATCACCACTATCACGGGATGTGCATCTACAATTGATGAACTTCTGATGCAATGTAATTCAAAATGGCCGTCACAATTAACTGACTTTAGTCAACATTTACTGAGGTTAAACTGAGAGCGGTAGTAGCTTAGAGTCCTCTCAGACACACACCCTGAGCTTTAACAAGTTATGCAAGTCATTCAAAACAAGATCTTTTAAGGTTTGATCAAAATGTCTGAAAGTTCGTTTCTCTCCGTCACTGGATCGTGGTCATGTGCATTCCTTTTAGGGAATTTCTTTAATCAGATTACTGTTTTTATTAATAGTTTTATTACCGTTATTGTTCATTCAAGCTTTATTTGTACAGGTTAGTCTCAGGTCCTTTATGCTGGACCAGTAGGTGGAGATGGTCCAGGCGAGGGTCTCTGGATCCTCCTGGAATCTCAGAGAAGATAATATCAGGCTCAGGTTTTATTGCAGCATTCAGTGTGTGTGTGTGTGGTTCAGTAATTGTTTGCAGAGCGCTCCACACGACTCCTGCTGACCTTTAATTTCAGGCTTTGTGGTGGAAACGTGCAGATTGGTATATGTGGTGTGTGTGTGTGTGTGATTTACACTCGGGCGTGTTGGAGCGAGCCGTGTGCCATCGATACTGTTTTTATTACACCTTGTGCCAAGTGCTAACAGCCGGGTACGAGTGGATGCAGCTGCAATTAGCATAATTGAAATCCTAATAACGCTGACGAGCTTTCTGAGAGGACGAGCGTCGCCGTGGCGATCAGATGGCCGGCCTGCAGAGCATCCTGGGTAATTGGGATAATGGGTGGTTTAGAGGTGAGAGTGGAACGGGTGCCAAATCTACAACCGTTTGTCTCGATGTCGGTGGTTTTCTTTCCTTTCTAAGACTCATTCAGAATTTTAATTTGTGTCCATGAGGAAACCAGACCGGTAAAACTTGTTTACATTTTTGGAACCTAAATCCAGTGGACGAAGCGGGCTTGTACTCCCCGGTACTTTGTACGTTTTACAGTGTTCTGCCAATTCTCATGAGCCTGACAGCAACTGGAGTGACTACCTGTAAATTACAGGTGAATCCTATAAACTACAGCACCCACAGGACATCAGCTGAAAACAGGAAGTCATGACACATCTCACTGGGTCAAATGTAGAAGAAGATTCAATGAACAGCTGGGCGAGTGCCGGGAGTCTGGCCCCGGTACTGAGGACCGTAATATATGCTGTCTGTACACAGAGAGGAGGCTCGTTACTGTAAATTAACCAGATGTGGAAGTTTATCAAGAGGGTGGAACAATACTTCCGAGTACTCAGCCTCTAAGCTCCGCCTTCTCGTTTTGGGGCGGGGGGGCATTTTCACTGGCAGGGAATGAAACTACAAACTCCTCGAGTTTAAGAGAACCACTTCAAATAATACTTGAACATTCCTCTGAAGCTTTCTGAGCCCAAATATTACGTCCGTCAGGTAAATGATGTCGCAGAGAATCATCATTCTTCTGCGTTTTTTAGAAAAACTTGTAAATTAAAGTTCAACAGATTGGACAAATGTGCTGCTTTATTTTGACTGTTCGTCACGAGAGTTGGGAAATAAACAAACTAGATCTTTATTATAAAGCAGGAACCGACTTCTTCAAAGGTGATTAACCAGTTGCTGCAGGTGAATCTTTAATTGTAATTAAAAAAACAACTGGTGGTAAAAAATTAATTTAATTTTAATAAAAGCGTAACGTCTGACGTCCACATAGCTCATTTAATTTTATGTAGTAAAGGTTTGAAGGCATAATAAAATGAATCTAAGTTTTCTTTTTAAAGCTTTGCCTTTAACAGAGTGGTAGTAATAAAGTGGTAGTAGCTGAGAGTCATCCTCAACACACCCTGAGCTCTGAGTTGTATTTACTGCTCCATTATTTCTCATCTTTAAGCTGATTCTAGTTCTAAACTCTGACATTTATTAGTTATTCTTTATATTCTTTTTTTTTAAGTGACAGACATGATTGATGTTGATGTTTCACCTGAACAGGTGAGATTTGCCGTTTCTCTTCTGATTTATTTCTCCCACTGAAGGAAGCTTCTGGGAGGCAGGTGGGAGGGAAACAGATGTTTGTTTGTTTGTTTTGAGCAGGAAGTCTTTGACAGCATCTGTTGGTGAAAGTGTTGGGACTCCACTTACTTTCCTTCCCTTTGAGTCTCCGTTAAAAGAACCCTCCCGACGCTCACCTGAGCTCCTCCTGGTCTTCGTTCCGGTGCAGACTCTCTCCCCTGCTCTGCGCCGGCCCGGCCCGAACGCAGCTGGTTCAACAAACCGGCCTACAAATGAGGCATTAAGCATCGGTAATGGGGGCGCAGAAAGGTCACGGTTGTATTAATCCGCCGTCTGGGGAATTCCACCCCCGAGTCCGGAAGCCGCGAGCCAAGTTTCCAAAAACAAACCCCGAGCAGGAATAAATATTCATCTATTGATCAGGAAGCGTTTCAGGAAACAAACGAGGCTGATGTACAGATATTTGGCTGCAGCCTGCCCCCCCTTCCCGTCCTCCTCCCATCCAACCCCAGGACACTGAGGTCCTACAGGCTGGGGTCAGAGGTCGCCTCCTGCAGGAGCGAGCAGCTTAAATCACTCGCATGAGGAGCCGACGCTTGGAGAGTTTAAATCAGAAGTTACACAAATCTTCACTCTGAGAGGTTTGTCCTCATTCTGATTCAGTCTTCAAACAGAAAACTGTTAAAAAATTATTTAATTTTTTTTTTATTTGTGTGTTTTTAATCATTATGCTTTCTGGGATTTGTTTTACCAAATGAGATTAGATTAGAATAAAACTCCAGTGAATGCTGAAGGATCCAACATTCATCAAATCTTTGCTCTAACGTTCAACACAACCTCCTTATTCTGAAGAGTATCTGAGTTTTATTTTGAAACTCCAGGCCCAAGCCAAATCAACTTGGGGGAAAAAAAAAGTGTTGTAACTGTTCAGTTTTTTCTGGGCTCAGTTTATTTTTTTCAGTTTTTTCTTAAACTGAGGAGAAAATAATCTTCAGATTAACAAAATTTATTTCATCCTGATGAAGTGAGCTCATTTTTCTGGCAGCTCTGAGCAGAGCTCGGTGTTTAAATGTGGGACGGAGTTTCCTCTGCGCGGTTTTAGTCGTGAAATAAACAAACTCATGACGTTGGAGCCGCTCGAGTCCTCCAAATCATTTTATCAGCATTTTTAAAAACAAAACGATCCGTTACAATCAAATAAATGTGCTGCCAATATGTCGGACACATTCAGAATGGTCTTTTTTTTTTTTTTTTTCAAACTGCTGTTTTTAAATTGCATGGGATTTAAAAAATATATATATATTTAAAACTCCAATTTTCTTTAATTATTAGATTAAAATTTTGGATGTTTCAGCAAAATTTGGTCAACTTGTGTTTATAAATAAACTTTTGTTTATATTTTTTAAACCCTTTTTTTCTTTCTGGTAAAGCAGTTTTTTTTCATCTAGTTTTTGTTGTAACGTCGTGTTTTATTTTTTATTTTTTTATTTTATTTTTTTCAGATTTACTCTTAAATCAGTTAATTGTTTTCATTTCCAGAGGTTTGCAGCTGAATCACACCTCGTTAATCATCTGAGCCGAGTTCATGTAAAGACGAGTTAATTCATGTTGGAGTGAAAATGAGATCGCGCTGAAATAATGAAGCATCAGAGAAATCAACCAGATCTGAGAAATAACTTCCCACTGATTAATTAAACTTTAAAATTTTATTGTTTTTACTTAAACCAAAAGTGGACCTGACCGCAGAGATTCAAAACTTCTCTGGTTCAGGTTCGATTGATTGTGATGTCATCACATCTGTAGACCAGCTGTCACAAACAAAGACAGGAAAGAAAACACAAATGTACTGATGTTAAAATATCAAACATCCGTCAGCTCTTTTCTGAAGTCTTTACTGATAATCTAAACTGTGGCTGAGCCCGACTTTTATTTTGAAGGGTATTGATGAACTTTATTTTGAAACTCCAGGTTCAGTTTCCTGCTGACCCTTTAACAGAATCCTCCTGAACATCAAAGATCTGATTGGAGAGGACATGAAATCTTAAGATTCTACAGGATCTATGGGGGTGGCCATGATGGAAACATAGAAGAAAGAAAAGCATGCTGGGTAATATAGAAGACCCAGATGCTGCTGAGTCACTGGTTGTCATGGTGATTCCCACCTTATTTGGGAACAGAACGGGAGTTGTAGCCTCAGACAAACAGCCTTTGTTTGTAAACTATAAATCTGATCAAGACTTCTTGACCCATGCGCAGCAGAAGGTTCTGATGGTACCATAGGTTCTGTTTGATGGTTCTATGGGGTTTTCTGAAGGAGACATAAGTTTAAAAAGAGCTTTCACTTCCTGTTTGCAAGAGAAAATTCTGAGCACAGAAATGTTAGAATAAATGAGAGTTTAGGTGCGTGACCTCTGACCTCTGAGAGGAAACCATCAGTCCTACAGCAGAGAGACACTAACAGGGACACATGACTGAACAAACTGTAAAAAAAATGTGAGTTTGTTTGCAAATTGCAGCTCTCTTAAACATTCTAAAGTAAAGTCTGTAAAAATCCTCAGTTTCAAATAATGTAAAATGTTTTTGCAGGCTTTGATTTATTTTTTTAATCCAAACAGAAGCAGCAGTGAAGAGCATTGACTCTTTGATTAAAAAAACAACAACTTTATTTTGAGTTTTACACCAGATTTTGAAAAGAAAAAAAAAGTTTCTGTATTTCAAAATCCATCTGCAATCTGTTTTGCTTCCTGTTGCATGCCCACTGCGTTCAGACGATCCTAACGGAGAACCTCTGTGTGTTTCAGCGGTGTGGGTTTGGCTCGAGCTCACTTCGAGAAGCAGCCTCCGTCCAACCTGAGGAAGTCCAACTTCTTCCACTTCGTCCTGGCGCTGTACGACCGGCAGGGTCAGCCCGTCGAGATCGAGAGGACGTCCTATGTGGACTTTGTGGAGAAGGACAAGGTGACAGCACGCAGCATGTTTGTTTTTCTGACCCCACCAGCTGAAAAGAAACTAACACAGGGGTTAAAGGTCAAGCAGTGAAGAACTTTCTTTAATATTTTAGTTTTATCTTTAATGGTAGAAGTTTCTAAACGGGTTCTAGATACAGCATGTTACCATAGTTGCCTGTCCACGGATGGGATCTATGCAGATGAAGTTTGTCCTCCAAGTTGTTGTTAGCAGAAACCCAAACTGTAGTGGGTCTGAACGTGTCCATGCCAGCAGATCTGTAGGACATTCCTGGTCTGCATTCTGCAGAATCCACCATTTAAATAACCAGAGAACCAGATGACCGAACACGGGGTCCAGGTTTTCTGGACCACAGGGTGATTGGAAAGAGGAGTTCTGGTCTGATGGCCACGTCATCATGTGGATGGTGGGTCTGTATGCAAGACCAGATGCATTACGAGAAGAAGCCAAGCCAGTGTGAGATATTCTGGCAAACAAGCCCAATTCATGGAGGTCCCACCTCACAATGTCCAGGACTTAAAAGATCTTCAGACATTTGAAGATCTTCAGACATTTGTGGCCTTCCAAGGTCCACAGTCAACCTTGAGTGGTTGATAGCAGGTCTTCAGAAGACCACGGCAGACCTTCAGAGGACCACGACCGGTCTTCAGGGGACCACGGCGGGTCTTCATCAATCAACGGAAGACCTTCAGGGGTTGATATCAGACCTTCAGGGGACCACAGCAGGTCTTCAGCGGTCAACGGCAGACCTTCAGGGGTTGATACTAGGCCTTCGGGGGACCACAGCAGACCTTCGGGGTTCCATGGCAGACTTTCAGAGGTTGCAGTTTATCCAAGTTTTTTGATAAAGAGTGGTTTGTTCTGATAGAACTCTGAGATCCTGAAGAGCCTTGTAGAAACATCCAGGCAGGATTTGGGATGTTTGTTCTTTGATTCGTTGCCAGCTGGCACCAGATCCTCCGCCCACTCGCTCACCTCACCTCTGCATTGACCTCTAGTCTCTTAGCCCAACGCGCTGGGACCGAGCCAACGCCGGCAGGCACAGTTGGCACTGAGCGGCCAGCCGACTCGGGCTCAGGTGGGGGAGCGGAGTGAAATAAAACTGGGAATAAAGGCAGAGAAGAAGGACAGGAGGAAGGTCAGCAGAGAGGCTTGTTTAGTCTAATGTGATGAAGAGGAGAGACTCACATTTATTTTATCTCGTCTCTCTGTCCTTGCCTGGCAGTGGGTGGACCAGAACAGGTAGCTCCGTTCATGTTGGATCAATTCAGTTAAATTCAGATGATTTCTATAGCACCAAGTCACAACAGAAGATGTCTCAGAGCACCGAACAGGAACTTTCACGTACATTATAAAAGCCAATTAGTAAAAGTTATCTAAGGAAACCAGCAGGTTGTGTTGAAACCTCACTTTGTCAGTCTCCCATCATGAGCAAGCGCACTGGCAACAGTGGAAAAGAAAAACTTCCTTTTAACAGGAAGAATCCTTCAGCAGAACCAGGCTCAGGATGAGCGGCCATCTGCCTCGACCGGCTGGGATTTGAGAAGACAAGAAGGAGAAACGGACAAACCTAGAATGACGGGTCCAGATGTACTTTCTATAGAAAGAAAGACAAAACGCACGTTAAGGACTGAAATCATTACAAATACAAACAGGTAGAGCAAGTAAAGACAGCGGCAGAGTGAGGAAATGTGGTCAATTTTTCCTCCAGCAGTTTAAGCTTATAGCAGCATAACTAAGGGATAGCTCAAAAACCCAAGCTGACCCTAACTATAGGATTTATCAAAAAGGAAAGACTTGAGTCTAATCTTAAAAGTAGAGAAGGTGCCGGCCTCATGGACAGAAACTGAAAGTTGGTTCCACAAGAGAGGAGCCTGATAAATGAAAGGTCTGCCTTTCATTCTACTTTTGGGAACTCTAGGAACCACAAGGAAATCTGCAGTCTGAGCCAAGTGTTCTGTTAGGAAAGTATGAAACAATAAGCTCTGTAATATAAGATGAAGCTAGGTTGTTGAGAGTTTTGTAGGTTCGAAGTAGGATTTTGAATTATATTTTGAATTTGACTGGGAGCCAATGGATCGAAGCCAAAACTGGAGAGATATGATCTCTACCATCAACTCTCATTAAAACTTTGGCAGCAGCATTTTGGATCAACTGAAGACGTTTTAAATATTTATTTAGACACCCAGATAATAAACAGTTACAATAGTCCAGTCTAGATGTGATGAATGCATGGATCATTTTTTTCATCATCGTTTTTGGACAAGATGTTTCTAACTTTATTGACATTACGCAGGTGGATGAAAGCAGTTCTGGTAGCTTTTTTTAATGTGGGAGTTCAAAGACATAGCCCGATTAAAAAATAAGACCACATTTTTACATTAGAACTGGAGGCCAGATTAGTGTCATCCAGAGGAAGTGAAAGGTTGTAAAGTTTATTTCTAAGATGCTCAGGTCCAAAAACCACAACCTCTGTCTTTACTCTTGAGTGAGTTTAAATGCAGAAAATTAAAGGATCATTCAGCTTTTTATGTCTTTAAGACATGCTTGTAGTCCAAGTAGTTGATTGGATTCACCCAGTTTCATTGATAAATATAACTGAATATCATCAGCATAAAAAAATATTTTATCCCATGCTGTTTAATAACTTTACCTAATGGAAGCATATATAAATTAAAGATTAGTGGTCCAAGCACTGAACTGGGAGGAACTCCATGACTAACTTTGATGTATTAAGAAGATTCATTATTTACATTTACAAACTGGTATCCATAAAATAAAAATGACTTAAAATTAGAGGCTTGGTGCTCAAAAACTGTTTGTATGAACCTGTTTACTATCAGGAAGTTCTCCTGGGTCCTTGTTACCCACTGAACACCCTCGTTTAGCTGAAAACAGACGTCCAGGATGTTAAATGTCTTCAAGCTCTGATTTGGCATCAATTTATGACAATATTCACCTGTTCCACCTCACAGCGTTCTGCGGCAGCCATGTTGGATGCTCAGCGTAGGACGGTTAAAGAATCATTTTCTCGTGACTTGTTGAAGTGCACGTAGAGAGCGGCAGGAAAGTTTCAAACTTTAAAATCTGGTTTTGATGATTGTGTGGACGCCGAGTTGGCGTTTAATTTGTATTTTCTGTGATCCAACTACTTGCTCACCCTTGATGCAGCTGTTCCTACATCGAAACATTCAGCTCATTCAGGAGATGGGTGCTGTGACTTTTGGTTTATACCTTTTAAAATATTCAACTTTATTTACAATTATTTTCACCATAGACATAAATTCAGATCTCTTTAATTCCTTTTAAAACATAGTTGTCTTTAAAATCTGCTTCACCTTCTGGTCCTTCTACTTTTAGCTTTTGTTACTTTAAGCTTTCTGCTAGCTTAATATTAACACTTGCTATTAGCTGCAGTTTTGCTATTTTTAGTTTAGCCACTGTTCTGTTACTTATAGGTTTTAGCTAGCATTTTGCTGCCTGTATCTTCTTGCTAGCCTTTTGCTACTTTTAGCTTACGTTTTGCCCTTTTTAACGTTGAGCTAGTTCAGCGGTGACTCAGAGTGAAAATGTGAAAATCTTCTTCCTGTCTGTAAATTTTATTGATCCTTCATGAACTAAAGGTTCTTCACGTGTTTCTTTTTTTTTTTTCAGGAGTACAACGGCGAGAAGACCAACAACGGGATCCACTATCGGCTTCAGCTCCTCTACAGCAACGGTGAGACGAGCCGCCGGCGTCTCAGAGCCCAGATTTAGATTTTCTCAAAGACTGAACCTGGAGTTGGACCAGAGAGGAGATCAGGGACGTTTTTCCACTCCTGCATTTCAGTTAAAGTCCAGCCAAATAGTCAAAGGACAAACGGTATGGTTCTGGGCTTTGATCAGGGTTCTGGACTCGGGTCGGTATTCTGTAAAACTACGTTCTGCTCATGTTGCGTAATGAGCCGAACTGCTGTAGAATTTAACAGAACCTCGCTCCCTCCCCACATTAAAATAAAATAAAATTCTTGTTTGTTTTAATTGATGAACTGGGTTTAAGGAACTGGGTTCTGGTTCTGCAGAACCTGCAGGTTCATTGGTTCTGTCCTCTGTGTTCTGGTAACGTAAAAACTCTAAATTGGATCTGGTTCATGGAGTGTTTGAGTGCTTTTCCTCTTTGGATCTGCTGACATTAAACCTAAATGAAGCTTTTTTTCCTTCAGATTTGCAGCATCGATTGATAACGGCGAGTTAATGATCCCCCTCCCCCCCTCAGACCAGACCGACCGAGCGGGTCGGCATGAGACCGGCTAAGCGGGTCGGCAGACCGATGATTTAGTTTACATATTAAAGGTCACTTCACTGGACGGGAAGTTTAACTCGGCTTTAAGTCTGGAAAAAGTTTCTCATTATCAGAACCGCAAACATCTGGAATCTCTGACAGGCCCGAGTTCTGTTTAGTGCATTGGGTCGGTGCTGGTGCTGATGGGAGGGAGCGAGGTGCTTGGCTGATTGGAAACACACGGCTCGGTTCTGTTCTGGCCTGACTCCAGCCGGCCGTAATGCTCTCAGACCCCTGCAGAAGCAGCAGATAAAGTGGCACATAAAGGACCGTTTTCTTCCAGAGCGGGATAAATCACTCTAATACGCAGCGTCGGATTAGCGTCGCTCCGAGGTAATTGACCTCATCTGCAACCGGGACGGATAGCCGCCATTTAGGCCGCAGACTGAGGAGTGAATCATGTCAATTAGGAAGCAGAGGAAGCTGCGAGGGAAACGGCCTGAAACGAAAACCCACAGCATCCGGTACAATTAGAGCCGCCGCTCCGCTAACAGGTGTTCCCCACGATTGCCTTCCTCCGCCCCACGCCGCGTCCGTGTCACATTTGCACCCCGACGCATCGCTAATAAAAGACGAGCGGTCCTGATTGATATTTAATTTGTCGGAGGATGAGGATTCCTTGTTCTCCTGGAGGAAGGCGGCGGCGGGGGGGCAGAGAGGCGCTCGGCAGTTAACGGCGGCCCGTCCCATAAATAATAAACAGCTCTGCAGCGGCGCTAATGTTTGTGTTTTCAGAGGAGGAGGAGGGAGGCACAACACGAATACACAACCAAGACATAAATAACACTGCCATTCATTTACTGCACATTATTAGGAGTTTCGTGAGATTAGCATAGCAGGCTGATGCATGTATGCATGTTGTGTAAGTGTGTTGTTTTTGGCTCATTATTGTTGTGTCTTTCAGGCATCAGGACAGAGCAGGACCTCTACGTTCGGCTGATAGACTCCATGACCAAACAGGTGAGACGCCGTTCTGCACCCGTTTTACTTTTGACCCAAATCACAGGTGCCACACGGAGCTGCAGAGGTCAAAGGTCGGCGCTCTGACAAATCAACGCTTTATAAGAAAACCAGAAAATGAGGGACTTTAATGACTTTAGGTGAAGAAGCTGAGCTGAAGCAGTTCAGACGTATCCAAAGGTCAGTTAAAAGCTAAAAGTAGCCGAACATTAGCTAAAAGTAACATAAAAGGCATAGCCATATATGAACAGGTAAAATAGTTTGTAAAACAGATTGTAAAAAAACTTTCAGAAAAATAAAACGGGAAATGGATAATGTGGTGCTGACTCAGCGTTCAGGCAGCTACACAGACCATCCAGTCATCCACCCATTATCTTTACCCGCTTCTTCCTTTTCGGGTCACAGAGGTCACTGGTGTCCATGTCCAGCCATCACTGTGCAAGAGACGGGGACAACCTGGACATCACAGGGACACACAGAGACAAACGAGCCAAAAAACATTCACTCTCTCGTCTAGGGACAATTTAGAGTTACCAATCAGCCTAACATGCATGTTTTTGGTATGTGGGAGGAAACCGGAGCACTCGGAGAAAACCCGCGCATGCACGGAGAGAACATGCAAACTCCACCCAGAGAGGTCCCCTGCTGGGATTTGAACCAGTAGCAAACACAGACAGAAGTAGCTAAAGCTCCATTACGTTTAATTATAACGAGCTAAGTTCTGGTGTCCCGACACAAACTCAAGAGTTCCATTAGAATCTGAGATATTTTGCTAACAGGCAAATTAACACCGTCGCCCACCTTTCGTGGCAGCAGGCGATAACACACCTGCAGATCTGACCTAAAGGAGAGCAGCGGACATGAACTCTGAGCTGAACACACTCGGGTTGTGAAGGAACGTTCAGAACTCGTTTTCTGTCTCCTCGGGAATAAAAAACTTCCAGAAAAATGTAATTTGGTCTCGTTGAAGCGATTTGTAAACTAAACGTGTGAAGCTCCAGTAAAACCCGGAGAACACTGAGGCGATTTAGAGAACATCTGTTCACAGAAACGCAGCAGAAAACTGTAAAACTCTGAGTTTTAACACCGAGTGTGGTTCTGATGATTAGACGTGTGAAGTTTCATGTTTTCATGCTGCAGTCTGATCGGGCGGGAACAGTTCAGCCTCGGGTTCGTTTCCTAAAGTTTGAACAAATCTAAAACCTCTAAACAAGAAAGACGACTAATTCAGCAAAATAAAAGCTGTTCTTTTAAACACGCAGCTTTAAAAATAAAAGCTTCCTGGTCTCCAAACTGGTTTTCTGATATCTACACTATCTTTTAAACTTGTTTGTAAACTGGTTTCCTTGTTTTCAGCTTGGGTTTCTGTTTTCTAAACTGCTTTCAATCTGGTTTCTTAGTTTCCAAACTAATTTTGTAACATTCAGTTTACGTTTTGAAAACAGATTTCTAAACTGGTTTCTTGTGCTCCAAACTGGTTTCTAGACTGGGTTCTTGGGATTAATGTTAGTTCACAAA